GGATTGATATCTTGGTAACCGGGGAAACTGATGAGATTCATATGGAGAATTTGCATCGTGTTCTGCAAAGGTTACTAGAGAGCGGGCTTAAACTCAAGCTTGAGAAATTCCATTTCATGCTCAGGGAAGTTATTTATTTGGGAATGTCAATCTCGGAAGCCGGCATTTCACCCAACAGAGGAGAAAGTGCAAGCCATCAAAGATGCCGCCCCTCCGGCAAATGTTTCTGAGTTACAATCTTTTATCGGTACAGCAAATTTCCTGCGTAAGTTTGTGCGAGGGTTTGCAGGAATTATGACACACCTTTGTACAAATTACTTCGGAAAGGAACACCGTGGAAATGGAGTAAAACTGAACAGGAAGCATTTACAACTATCAAGTCGGCATTGTGTTCGGATTCTATATTAAGACATTATGACCCAGCTGCTGAGCTGGTACTCCAGTGTGATGCATCTACTATAGGAGTTGGAGCTGTACTGTTCCAGCCGGGACACGATGGCTCATTACAACCAGTAGCATACGCTTCTAGAACTCTTAATGCAGCTGAGAAAAATTACGCTCAAATTGAACGTGAATCGTTAGAATTGTATTTGGAGTTACAAAATTCCGCCAGTATTTACTGGGCAGACATTTTAAACTCCTAACAGATCATAAACCGTTGATAACCTTACTGGGGGAACATAATTCAGTTCCACAGTTAGCGTCAGCACGGATCAAGAGATGGTCCCTTCTTCTGGCTGCATACAACTACACGATTGAGTTTATCTCTGGAAAAGAAAATGTCTATGCAGACTTTCTTTCAAGGAAACCTACTAACATACAACCAACAACTCCGGAGGAACAGGTAGATGTTCAAGTCATGTTTATCGAAGGAGAAAAAATTGTTAATTCCACAATGGTTGCCATGGAAACTAAGAAAGATGCAGTCCTAAGTAAAGTACTAGAAGTTACGAAGAATGGGTGGCCAGAAAAACTACAACCTGAATTACAACCTTATCATACTAGGCGATTAGAATTATCACATGAAGATGGAATTTTGTTATTGGACATTCGAGTTGTAATTCCAATACGTGATATTCTACTGAAGGATTTACATGCCGAACATTTCGGAATAGTGAAGATGAAACAGTTGACGCGTAAATACCTATGGTGGTCTAAGCTCGACAAGGAAATCGAAGAAAAAAGGTTAAGTCTTGTATGGCATGTCAGGAAGAAGCCAAATCACCAAATGCATCTCAACAAACATCATGGATAGGCCCGGAGGCCCTTGGAAACGTATTCATACAGATTACGCAGGTCCATATCTAGGGAAAATGTTCTTAGTCGTAGTCGATGCCTATTCCAAGTATCTTGAGATTGTCCCAATGTCTATTTATTTATTTAATGAATTTATTGAGCAATCTACATACGTACTATATCAGGTACAAAGATAAAAACTTGACAAACGAAAGACAAACACACGTCACAAATCACAAATTAGTAGATACACTCAAACGGAAAAGCACAAACGGGACACTAAAAGTCCCATGCGAGGTGCTCCCCGTAATTAGTTTAGATATAGTTAATTGGATATACCCACACATATATATTACTTGTGGTATCATTAAGTCCTATGGCAAGGACAGTCACGAGTTAATGACCACGTACAAGCCATGTCTACGTCATAAACATTACTAATTAATGTATAGTATCTACGTTTAAGATAGTGTTTAAACGAGTTTGGATTACGGAAAATGTCAGGTGAGACTTCTTGGCACACTGTGTTCCAAATCTTTAATAATGACTAAATAATAATAATCTTTAATAATAATTAATAATAATAATAATAGTCTTTAATAATAATCTTTAATAATAATTTTTAGTCTAATGCTACTTCAACTACCACCATAACAGTTTACGACATATTTTCAGCAATTTTGGACTACCTGAACACATTGTTTCAGATAATGGTAGCCAATTTAGATAATGGTAGCCTTCCTAGACCTCTTTCTGGAATTGTAATTTGTGTCGTATACCATCCACCAGGTATCCCAGTATCAGATCACGATGATCTTAACGAATATTTAATCAACACGAATGATGTAATTCGAAACAAATACCCGGACCACGGTCTGGTCATCACAGGTAATTTCAACGATTTTGAAACCGGAACTTTAATGTCTAGCCAGAATGTAAAGCAAGTTGTCGATAAACCAACAAGAGAAACAACAGCGATATTAGACTTTATTATTACTAACTTGCACCAATTATATCAGAGCCCCCATATTCTTGCTCCGCTGGGTTCAAGTGATCATAACATTGGCATCCATCCGATGTTAATACAAATGAAAAAAAATACTCAAGCTAGTAAAATCAACTAAACCACTAGTACGTCGTTATCCAAGATCAGGTATGGATGCTTTTGGTAGATGGGTCTCTACTTATGACTGGTTCGGCGAACTAGAACCCAACCCTACTACCGATAGTCTGGCCCTCTCTTTCACGAACCGCCTGACAGAAACTATTCACAGAATTTTTCCACAAAAGAAAGTAACCCGTCATCGAAATGACAAACCTTGGATCACTCCGACCATTAAACAACTTATCGTTGATCGCCAAAAAGCTTTCCATTGCCAAAACATAGCCGTGTGGGAATCTTTGAAATATAAGGTTCAACAAGAAATCAAATCTAGGAAAACAACTTATTATAAAACAGAAGTAAAACATTTGAACAAGGACGACTGTCGAAGGTGGTGGAAAATTGTAAACACCATGGCAGGAAAACCGGAGAAAAACAATTGCTTCAATTTCGAGCGTGATGGGATAATCCTAGATGAGTCCGAATTAGCCAACAGCCTAAACGAGTTTTACGCATCAGTAAATAATGACATTCCAACACTCGACGTAACAAAACTTCCCACCTTCCTCCCAGCCGCCGAAGCTACCCCGAGGCTTGAACCGTATGAAGTATGTAAGAAGTTACCAACAATCAAACCTTTCAAATCCAGCGGCCCGGACAATATTCCCTGTCGAATCTTAAGGGATTTCGCTTACGAACTTTCCGAGCCTGTTACAACTATTTTTAACGCATCACTCGCATCTGGATCTGGAAAAAAAATCTGGAAGGATTCAGATATTATTCCTATCCCTAAGAAACAACAGCCTACTTGCGAAGAAGAGACAAGACCTATTTCACTGACATCTTGTCTATGTAAAGTCTAGAAGACTTTGTAGTCTCCTGGATGATAACCGATATGGAAGACTTGACCCAAGACAATTTGGATGCCTGAATGGAACATCGACGACTTATTGTCTTTTGGACATGATTCAAACTTGGTTGTCCTTCTTAGATGGTCACGGAAGACACCTACGGATATGTTTCCTCGATTTTGCAAAGGCGTTTCACCATATTGGTCATAATATGGTAATAACCGAACTATTGGATTTGGTGTTCGACGATCCTTGGTACCATGGGTAATTAACTTTCTTTCTAACCGTCGATACAGAGTTAAATTAGGAGATATAATCTCGGATTGATTAACAATGAAAGCTGGCGTCCCACAGGGGACAAAGCTTGGCCCAATTTTGTTTTTGGTAATGATAAATAATCTCAATCCCAGATCCAGCGGAACAGATATTTGGAAATATGTTGACGATGTATCCACCTCGGAGGGACTGGCAAAGAACAGCAATTCTAATAAGCAATTTAATCTTGACTCAATCTGTTCTTGGTCCCTACAGAACTATATGAAACTTAACGTTAAAAAATGTAAAGAACTACGCATTTGTTTTCAGAAAGATAAACCTGAACTATTGCCGTTATTGATAGATGAACAAGTGTTTGAAATCGTTCAGTCTCACAAAGTTCTTGGTATTATTATTCAGGACAATCTAAAATGGAACGAACACATTGATTCAGTCGTTTCCAAAACATCTAAACGGTTGTACATTATCCGCACTTTACGCCGAAGTGGCGTCCCTGCTAAAGATTTACTTGAGATCTATTGGCATAATACTTTACCTTCGTATCTTGCTAACCAGTTAGAATGAGTCCAGAAACGCGCACTTAGAATTATTTTACCAGAATACATCTATAGTGAAGCCCTAACACTTCTGAAATGCGCCCGGCTAGGCGAGAGACGAGAAAAACTTTGCCTTAAAACCTTGAAAAATATACCACAAGGAAATCCTTTATTTAGTCACATTCCTGCACCGAGAGACACCTGTTACGATTACAACCTAAGAAATTCTAATGCATTAACTACGATCAAATGCAGAACAGCTTCTTTCCGAGCACTGTGGCTATTTTTAATGACAGTAGCAACATTTAAATACAGATTTTATAGAAGTACAAAGTAACGTTTTAATACATTTTAACTCTTTAATCCTTATTATTGTTAATATAGTAATTAAATACTTAGTTGTAAATTCACCGCAATTCAAATTTATGCGATGGTGAATGTTCTTAAACATGAATAATAATAATAACAATTTACCAGTGAGGAGTTTCAGAAATTTCTGAACGATGACAATATTCAACATACTACAACCGCTCCAGGACATCCTGCAACGAATGGACTGGCAGAAAGGAATGTGGGTAATTTTAAAGATAAACTAAAGAAAATGGGAGACTCAGGAGAGCCATTGCAGACAAAACTAGACCGGTTTTTGCTGACGTACAGAGCTACCCCTACAGGGTTAGGAAAGTCACCATCAGAGTTGCTAATGAACAGGCAACCACGGATCCGATTGAGTGCGCTTAGGGCGAAACAATCGAAAAATGAAGTAAAAATATTTCAAGATAATCTAGATAATCAACCAAAGTACAGTCAGAATCAAGCAGTATTCGCACGAAATTTTGGCAAAGGAGCACGATGGCTTCCAGGGGTTACAGTAAAGATAATTAGTCCTAGAAATTATGATGTGAAAGTGAGGGATGTTATGTGGAAACGACATGAAGAGCAATTGCGTCCACGACACATACCTAGTTTTGAAAACGCAGAACAAGCGAAGTCCGAGATGGAACAACATTTGTTCCCAGAAACGAAGACAGAAACAAACAAAAGAGAAACAATTCCTGCACACACGGAGGATAGGGTACCTGCAGTACCAAGTGTGGTTACGAATTAACGAGTTCGATACGTTCACCATAGTTAACACGAAAAGTAAAGATCGGGACTGTGGAGAACTTACTAGTAAAATGGACTTACTTGTTAACGTTACACCAAGCGAGTCCACAAGAAGGTATCCTTTACGTGAGCGTAAACCTCCTAAAAGGTTTACTGAATAGTAAAAACATTTCGAACTTAGGTAGATTGTTGTGTTATGTTACGGGTTTAACGTCTACAGTGCATGGACACTTCAAGAGGGGGCAGTTGTTATATATTGATTATATGAAGTACTGGATATAGACGCATGCGTAGGAGTGAACTCACATAGAGCAGTTCGGGACGAGAGAGTTCTTTTTAGAGATAGTCGTTATTGCACTTATTTTGAGATTAAAAGTTATTTTTGGCATTCAATCCATACTCGGATATACACGAGAAATACATTACAATTTCGCAACCAAATTTTGCAATTTTACTCATTTCATTATGTTCTTTTTAACTGTTGTGTTTTATTTCCTTCTCTTTACTTAGATTAAAATTTAGTCTAACATGCAAGTTGTCCATTAATTAATTATGGAATTCAATACAAATTGAAATTAGGAATTCCACCTTACTAAAAATAAAAAATAAACTGAAGAAAATAATTTGTTATGAACTATAGCTTTAATGTTGTTGTAAATATTGTGAATATTTCAAATGTCACGGCGCCTGGGAAGATCAATTTGGATGACCGACAGGGCTCAATGCATGCTTAAATAAAGTTCACTCTATTAAAATTCACTCTAATCAGTTCACTCCTAATTTTGTCTGCTGGTAAAGGATTTATAAACTCATAAAATTTAATGACCTTTTATAGTTGAATTATCACTTCACAAATCTTTATGGAAGCGATTTTCTCGACTCGGAAGTGTTGAATTTAAGGTAATCTGTACGGGGTTCATATCCATGCATGAGAGGAGGCAAGTGAAAGGCTTCCTGCGCGCGTCTTATCAAACGACTGATGTCATGAGATTGCGCGGAGGCGCGCTAGTAAAATGCTATAAACCTGTATTAATCCTCTGGGGCCGATCATCTTAACCCTAGGTTAACCTAAAGTTCAAAGCAAACTTCCTGGTAGCTTGTTTACAAATTTGGAAATGATTCTTCAGAAATCCTGTCTGGATCGATAGGAGTTTACTTCTCTGAAGTTTTGAAATAATCAAAAGTGCAGAAATACATGAACTAAAACAGCGGGTTAAATTTTAGCCGAGGGTTAGCGCTAACCCAGCTATAAACAACCAGCTCCTGGAGGTATACAGCTATTTCAATTAAGGTTGTCCAGGAGCAAAGCGGAAGTCGAATACGAGCGCGAAAGGCTGCTGGGAATCGGTAACAAATTAATGAATTTTCAAAGCTGTTCCCAGCAGCCTTTCGCGCTCGTATTCGACTTTTCCGCTTTGCTCGTGGACAACCTTAATTGAAATAGCTGTATACAATTTGAGCCGTTGAGTAATGTGATATACCAGAAGTTGCCTCAATATGCAGGGCCGCCGAGAGGGGCTGGGGAAGGGGATTGCCCGGGGCCCCCACCTTAATAGGGACCCAACGTGAGAGAGAGAGCCTAAAATTTAGTAGATTCTTTAAATTAGTCAGAGCATTTTTGAAATTGAGGGCCCCTTACAATAGCTCCACATGCAGTCTAGCTATAAAGGTCTATTTAGATAGATAGATAGATAGAAACTTTATTTATACACGCTGACCCCGTCAACCGAAGCTTATTTTCACGGGGGCGTGTGCAAAAATAGAAAAATGTTACATGGAGATATTAAAAGAGTTAAGTTTAAAAAGGTAGAATATTAAATTATTTACATGATAAGAAGGTTATTAGAATATTTACAGTTGCATCAATTTACTTATTACTCTATGTCAATTTTGTGAGCATTTGGGTGACTGACTTGGGTCTGGCTTAAAAGTAATGATGTCATGGGGCCCCCAAAGAAGATTTGGCAATATGTTTCTATCACTGATCTGAAATATAGCTTCCAAAACCTCTTCGAAGTACTTTTAGAACGTTTTATACACCACATAATGAGGCTTATGGCGGCCATGTTTGATGGCCACATTAGTTATTCACTTAGGAAAAAAGAGAGGCTACTGATGATAAATTCTTATCTAGGCAATATTTGTCCTTTCCCACTGGTGACTAGAAACGTAAACGAACAGTAAAACATGTCCACAACACCAGATTAGATTAATGGTGAGGTCATCCAATATGACTGGCATTGGTTTCACTTATGCACAGCAGATGCTTTATCCAGTTTAATTTCAGATCAGTGGTCTCCATCAACACAAATTCAGCGCAAGCTATATGTATCTATCAGGCATATGCATATTTAACAAACAGATACACAATATGACGTCATAATGTGGGAAAAACAAAGGGGCTCACGAACTGCCGAGGCCAGTGGGTCACTTTTTTCTTTTCCCACATTATGTACTGTGTATGTATAACTGAGCAGACAACAGCAAAATCTTATCTGTTCGTTTTGTCTAAATAAAAAAAAACCCGAATTAAGCAGGTAAATAGCTTACTTTTTATCCACCCAAACATTTGAAAATTTGAAAACACAACTATAATTTTAGTATGTAGGAAGTTGTAGCCTTATCAATCCGAAGCTTTGTATGCAACATATCTCGTAGACATCAGCGAAATATTTATCTTTAGTGCGGGTAGTGTGGTCGCACAAATTCTACTGGTATTCAAACCTGGCCAGGTTCCAGGTGCAAATAGTTTGAACAATGATTTCGTGAGAACCCTTGCAAGTGGAACTAAAGCTAATGAAAAAGTGCTGAACAACACATACGTGATTGCTACATCAGAGGAAAAGTCTAGTCGAATATCAGGTAAAGAGATAAATTCACATTGTATTTGCCTTTTGCAGTTTTGGTCGGAAACACGAAGAAAATTTGCTCTGCTTTGCAAAATTTATGCCAGTGTTAAAATAACAAGTTCATTTACTCTTCATAATCTTGTAGCGTTTCTGCCCCGCCATGGCCGTGCCGAGCGGTACTTGGTTGGGGGAGAGGGGGTGAATTTAAAAAGTAGACACCTTAAGATTGACGTATTTTTCGCAAACGTCTAACCGCTAGAAACCACGTGACCAGGAGCTTGCCGTCACGTTCGCCGTAAATCGCTCACGTTTTAAACCTCACGAGTGCATTCTACAGGTAAATGATTTACCTCAGCATTTTATTCAACTGTTATTATTTCATTGCACGTATATGTAATGTATTAAGACAAATATACATCTTACCTTTGATTTGGATGGATAAAAGTTGTTTTTAACAGGTAATTTTTCATATTCTGAGTGCTTTTAACTGAACGATGTATAAATTCGACTCTCTAATTTATTTGGGTTAAACAAACATGAAAATTTCGATTGTCAGTTCAATATTTTGTGGCAGATTTTGGTATGATAGATTTCTTAAATTGACCATTTGCGTAATACTAATAGACTAAATTTTGATCTATAGACAAAAATTTCATCGCAGCTTGGAAGAGCATCACAAAATTAGTAATATTCCAAAGTTTCGTTGCGAAATGTTGTAAAATGTGGGGATAATATAGCCTTGCGAAGTTTGCAATTTTCAGTCATTTTAGATTACAAACGGGAAAATGACAGCCCCATACCCTTTGAGGCTGTCAATTTCCCGTTTGTAATCTAAAATGACTGAAAATTGCAAACTTAGCACGGCTATATTATCCGCATTTTACAACATTTCGCAACGAAACTTTGGAATATTACTAATTTTGCGATGGTCTTTCAAGCTGTGATGAAATTTTTGTCTGGACTTGTTTAGATCAAAATTTTGTCTGTTACGCAAATGGTCAATTGAGATTTGTTTATTTTAAGTCGTGTTTTGAATCGTTTTAATTAATAAACGTTTACATTTGAACATTCACGATAAAGCAAGTTCAAAATCATCGATGACCTTTTCACAGTCCGTGTTTAAACATACTTGCATATTTCTTACTTACATTTATACTTTCATATTTCAATTCATTTTAATTAACAAATTGGTAGTGACATTTGTTTTTTGACAGGATGGCACAATTCAAATGATCCTATAGTTTCGACGGGAAAAAAATTGAACTCGAAGAAAAACGTCAATCTTAATTTCATATTTGCAAGTACAGCAAACGTGAAATCGCTAACGGCAAACCGCGGTTTGCGGTTAGGCGTAACTAAAATAAACGTCAATGTTAAGGTGTCTATTTAACACGTTCCACACTTCTAGCATTCCGGGGGCCTCCTCAGGGCGAGTTGGGCCCCCTTTCTTAACTTTTTTTTTTGGAGGGGAGTGTGTTACACCAACCCCACACTCCGCCCCGTGTTTGTCGTTTCCCACACACAGCCTCCGTTCACTCATTCCTCACGAGACTTAAACAGTAAAAGATAATGATTCATCATCATCATCACGTGGTACTTTTACTGTTCTCTAGACTACAATGAATGTAATAATCCAGTGTTAGGGGAACATTTGATAGCTGATTGTCAAGCACATTCTTACTGTGAGAATACGTATGGGTCTTGGACCTGCAAGTGTTTGATTGGATTTGAAAAGCATTCTGCAGAGCACGATATCTGTGTCAGTGAAGGTAAGTACTCTGTGTAGAAAGTAAGTACAGAAAGTAAATGCGCAAAGCAAATACTATGAAGAGAATTCACACGAGTGAGATAAACACAAGCATGAGGAAAGATAAAAACCAAAAAACAAAGAAATGCAGTGAAGCATACGACATAAGCTTTGACATAAGCGGAATTTTAAAGCACAATCTAAACGTAAGTTAAGGGAAAATGTTTCGAAAATTAATTCTGTCCGCTTTGTTTTCCAAGACCCAATGGTTAAATTTTATTTTGTTTTTCTGTTTATGCTTATCTTGCTCGAGTGAATCAGACTTAAATACCAACCGAAAATGATCGTGTTTTGTTGTTGACTTAATAAAACAACAGTGATCTGTGTGATCTATAATAGTTGATTGTATTTATTATGATCAACCAATCACAAATCCTGTTGATAGAGGCACTATGTGAGGGGGACCACATGAACAGGAGTCGCTCAGTGCCCAAAGGCGTGAATTGTGCATGATGAATATTTTGTCTTTATACCCATGAGTTACGCTTTTAGCTCAACACTCTTTCGCAAAATGTAAGATAAACTGTGCACATCTGAGGACGCCTATATATATACACGCGTTTTCTACTGCATGAGCGCTTAACTATCCTATCGCGGTTTACCGCGTGCAGGATTGAACATTTACCTTGCAAAACCTCAATATCGTCTCTTAATTTTCTTAGACGATGACTGGTGGATAGTGTATGCTGTGATATTTGGAGCAATTGGCTTTGTTGTTCTCATTCTCATCTTCTTGTTCTGTTGTTTGGAGTTAAAACGAAATGAAGAACTGTAAGTTACCAATTACTTCCATACATACACACATATTTTATTGACAACTCTTGATACTCAATGCGTTGTGTTTTTGTTCGATACTTGCATCGTATTTCAGTTCCATACTTGCATCGTGTTTTTGACAGCATGTACGACATCACTTCACGTGTTTGCTTCAAGATGAGACGTATAAAGGCACTAAAACTTCTGAACTACCGATGCTGAGCATTATCTGATATAGCTGACACTAATAACTCTTCTCCCTTACGTAGATATACATTACACGAAGAAAATAGACCACGTGATAAACGAATTGATGAAGAAGTGGCGCCGGGATTTCCAGGAACAGTACCAAGAACATCTTCAACTGGTAGTCAATTGTTGTTAGGAACTGATAAAGGGCATGGTAGGGAGAGCCTCGCAATGTACGAAGTGAACCCAATTTACGACTCCGCCAATGGTAAGTCAACATCGACTTTGTATTGGGACAAATGCAGTCTTGACACCATTTTTAATGGACATGTCTTCTAGTAACTAGACAGACGCGCGTACAATCGGCTTGAACTCCAACTTTATGTTCAGCTTCACCGTGTGCAATTTTTTTCAATTTGCCTATCTAGGACTTGAACGCCGCACTTATCATTTGCTGAACCTCAGGTGAAGGCCGTTTTCCACTTCAACCGTAACATAGCGTATTTCTTTGTTTCTTGAGCACTAAAGTGGAACTAACGACTTCGACACGAAAGGAAATGTTACGTTACGTTACGGTTGAAGCGGAAAACGACCTTTTGAACCAGGCTTGATATTTCAACAGTACTGTTGATTGATCCGAGCAGATATTAGGCGATTGCCTCGTTAAGGCGGTTTTCCAGTCCTCGCACGAAGCTCCTCGCAGCTCGCTGCGATTGCTTGCATCTAATTAAAATTAACTGTTTAGCATTGTGATTGGATGAAAGTGCTCATGCATGCACTCGCAGCGAGGAGCTTCGTGGGAGGACTGGAAATCCGCCTTTATACATTATGCCAAAAATGCTTTATTTTCACCGGGCACAAATTAGCAGACATGAACAAAAAGACAAAAATCTTTCCACAGTAAGGAAAGTGCTCAGTATTCTCCTGGTATTCAAACCTGACAAGTAACCGAATTCGAGCAATCAGAAGTATAATTTAGTTCACATGATTTATACGAATATTTCATAATTCTTTTTTTTCCATTTTAGGATAATTTATGAAGACCACGACGCTGGCGTTTTAATAAAATTTAGCACTATTGTTGCATATACTTAACATTTTTAGGCGAATAATAGATTCTGGGGCGTGGCAAAATGATGGGGTTTCATATTGATAATCATCAACTTTCTCAATGAAAATGAGAAAGATTTTGTTTTCTTTCGTTGAAGCAAGATTGCAGTTTCTTCATCAATATGTTAAATGTGCCCGTTAGGGCTTGTTGGGTATGTACTTTTCAATTATAGTTGAAAAAGCTGCTGACTTCTGACCACAAACGTATTTTTATACTTTCAGCCCATTTTCACAAAAAACCCAAAATGTTTGACTAATAACAAATCATTTTTGATGAACCTTTTAACGATTTTTGGGGGGAGGGCAGTCGCGTCCTCCCCACCTCCCGGTTGCCACGCCCTGACGAGGCTACTTTCTATTTCTATATACTCAGTTTAGAATTTTTACTACATTTTAACTTTGATTTAATTTTATATTTTTCATGTATTTTGCACAAGTTAGCATTGCTTAATAAATTGTAACGAAATCGAGAATCATTGATTAAATGTCAAATCACCTGAAGTTCAGACTTTATTTTATTGAATCACAGTCTTAACGTTTTCAGCATGCATTTATCAAAAGGGCCGCAAAGTGAACCCTAATGAAGTTGCCAACGTTCAATGAACAGGTTTTGTGCTTGGTTGATTATAACAATGAAATAAACCTTAAGAACAAATTTTCAAATCCACGAGTCATAAACACGGATAACTTTTGTTTAATTTTTTGCAAGAAATGATCAGTTTAGGTTGGTTCCGGATGACTCTGTATACCAATTCATGTTAATCATGTAATACACGTTGATCGCTAATACTGGGTATTACTATCGCAAGGAAAGTGCTCCCTCGAACTCGCATTAAAGCGTTGGTAACGTATAAATGAAGCAGCTTTCTTCTGGAAAAACACTATTTAGTCCAAAGACATCAGATAGTCAGATCACGCAAGTGAATGGAAACATGACGCTGTTCGTTGATTTTCTTTGCTACTTGAATTTATTGTATCCGCCTATCAAGTTTCCAAATTGAAATTTGTACGACATCCAAACCGACGCAGCTGAGAGTCGCATAGATCGCGCAAGAATGAGCACGAGTGAAGATTGCAGTTCCATGGACGAGCAAAACACATTAACATGAAGTACTATAATTTCATTCGAGAACAAGTTGCTACAGTTTACTGTGAAACTTCGGTACTGTAGCTGTGATCGCAGATATTTTAAGGGACCAAATCCAGATAAGTTTAGGAAGCTTAGAAAGATGCTCGTCTTAAGCTCAGAGCAGATAAACAATGAACAGTTAAACTGGACATGTAACCATACGAGTGAGGAGTGTTGAAAAATGCTCTCTAGAACTTCACTATAAGTACTATGTCTGGTTTAATGTTTTGGTAACAGTCAATATCGGTTCATACCAGCTAAATAAGCGAGATTTGCATTACGCAAATTGCCTGCAGAGCAAGTGACATGAAATGACCTTTGTTGTCCACCAGTCTTAAGGTGAAGTAATATGAGCGACACCATAGGCTGCGACTTGCAGCAAAAACTGATTTCGGTGCATGTTAATTAATGACACAATAAGCTGAGAGACATGCATAAAATATTTTAATAAACGTTAAAATAAACAAATTTCGTTGGCAGGGATGCAACTAATTGAAAAATATGAGGATAATTTCGACGTTTCGAGCGAAGGCCCTTCGTCTGCAGTTACTAGTGGCGGGTCGAGAAAATTACATGAGCTTTTATACTAAGAATGTAAAAGCATCACGTGACAAAGAATAAACCAAATCAGATGGATTAAGTCAAAACAAAGTATAAACTGTAAATCACATGACAGAATATCATGATTTTTTCTGTGTTGGTGTAATGTACTCAGGTGAATATGATGATTGTGATGTTACTCTTAGTGTATGTCCACACCGGGCAAGCTTGAAAAATATGCTTGTCCACGGTGGGAATTGAACCTACGACCTTTGGAATACTAGCCCAATGCTCTGTCAACTGAGCTACGCGGTCAGGTCGGTTCGAGTATGTGATATTTCGGAACAGACTCTAGTTCCTTCGATATCAATGTAGTCTAGTAATCATGATTTTTTCTGTGTTGGTGTAATGTACTCAGGTGAATATGATGCTTGTGATGTTACTCTGAGAGGAACTAGATTCTGTTCCGAAATATCACATACTCGAACCGACCTGACCACGTAGCTGAGTTGGCAGAGCATAGGGCTAGTATTCCAAAGGTCGTAGGTTGATTCCCACCGTGGACAGGCATATTTTTTAAGCATCAACATTACAGAATATATTAATACAAATATAAAGAGAACTACAACAAAATATATAAAACTATGGAATAAGGTAAGAATTAAAAGTACCATCAATATCTGCTTTTGACAGACAAAGACATACAGAGTTAAACATAGGAAAAACGTTCATTAATGCCATAGGGATGGACAGAGCCAAGTTCGGAAAAGAGGCGCATTTCACAGGCTTTCTGGCATCCTTGTGTAGAAAAGTAGGACTAGAATTTTCGGAAAAGTAGGAATAACATAGGAAAATGTGTAGAAAAGTAGAACAAAAGTAGGAGTTTTTTTTGGAGATGCAAATAACACAAAAACATACAAAATTGGCCCCCTATGATATATGTTGTAAGGGTTAGACCATTAGATTTCTGATGGGGAAGTTGTGTGAATTTTTGGTGCTCAATATTTTTTTGTACTCATTCATCTATGCAGGATTTTTTTCTCAAAACTTTTAAAATTAGATATTAATATAGACAATGAATGTTGCATCGGTATAAAAGCTAAGGCATCTGCTCTGCAGCAACACAATTCAAATGCGTTATGAGTGTGAGTGCATGTATTTGGCTGCGCCATACACCAATCCAGACTGTACGGCAGGAGAATGATGCTTGATTAACTGGGGG